CTGCACTGACGGTGAGGGGACCTCCCACGCCGCGCCCGGCCCGCGGGGGCGCAGGAGGGACCCGCTGGGTGCGGTGACCGTTGGGAAGGGTCTCCTACCGCAGCTCTGCCCCGAGGAGCGAGGAGAAGCCCGGAGCGGAGGGGCGCTCGCCGGGCGCCCGCAGGCCGCCGCGCCCGGGCAGGCCCGGCCTCCTCCCGCCCGCCCGGCCCGCGCGCCCCGGGCAGGGTCGGCGCAGGATGTCCGCACGGCCGCGGCGCGCGCTCCGGCCGCCCGGCTGGCGGCGGCGGGTGCAGCGAGCGCGCCCTGAGCGCCCCCGGCCCGGGACGCCGCTCCCGCCCGCCCGTGCGCGCGCCCGCCTTCCCGCCCTCCGCCCTCCGCGCGCCGCCGCCGCGCCCCGCGGCCCCGCCCACGCGCCGCCGCCTCCACTCGCGCCGCGCACCCCGCGTGCCCGCCCGCGACTCCGGCCCGCGGGAGCGCGCGCAGGCCGGTCCTACCTTCGCGCGCCGCCACCGCTGAGACCGAGCGGGTCCTGCCGGGCGGGGCCGGGGCGGGCAGGGGCGGGCAGGGGCGGGGCCTGATCCCGCCCCGCCCCCCCGGGTCCTGGAGTCCCCGGGACCGAGGGCGCGGCAGAGGGCGGGGGCGGGGGCACGGCCGGCTGGCCCCGGGGTCTGTCTGTGGAGCGTTTCCTTGGAACAGGCACTTGTGGAGGGCTCTTCATCGATCGCATTTACTGCTTCCCACAACCCAGCAAACTGGGATTATTAGCTCTTTTGCATAAAAGGGAAACCGAAGATTAAGCAAGCGGAGCAGTGTCCCGCAGCTGCAAGGTGGCAGAGCAGAATCGGAACCCACAGCCACCTGCCTAGGCCCACTGCGGCCTTGGCCTCGGCTCCTGCTTCCGGACCTTAAAAGCCTTAAACTAAGCTATGGCCTCAACCAATCGCCCAAGCAGCCTGAGGGAGCATTCCCTCCCGCCCCCCTCGGAGCCCAGTGTAGCAATACTGAGGCTTCAATAGCTTGACCTGCAGGGAGAATGTCTTTGCTTTCCTGATCGTCCAGCAACCTTGGATGAGGTCCTCTGGCCTCAGTTTGTTTACCTGTGAAATGGTGGAACCTCATCTGCTGCCCTTTCCTTCTTACAAATTCATGTGCCAACTGGAATGGGATAAAACCAACAGGAAACCTTGCTTTAGAGCTGTGTTTCCCAAAGTGTGGTACGCGAACCCCCAGGGATATGGGAAGAGTTTGGTGGGGGTACGTGTTGCACCGGAGTTTGGTGGGGATATGCACTGCACCGTGTTTAGCTGCACCTAATTCTACGTTCTCTTGAGTACGAGGGGTACTCAGCGTTACGAAAATTATAGAAGGGGTACACATATGTCAAAAGTTTGGGAAACACTGCTTTAGAGGACTGAACAGTGATGTCGTTTCTATCTGTAACAATACATTAGGCTCTACCTGCCTATCTCTGCTCTTGAAGGCAAATCACCCATTTCAAACGTGTAGGCTGGTCTGCAACTCCCTGGCTGAGGGAGGGCTGTGCTTTGTTTGAAAACGGAAGTTGATTTTATGATTTTGTATTTGGAAAACAATGAATACCCAGAAAGAACAGCAGCAGACCTGTGGCTGGTGGTTCTGTCTTTCCCCGTTGGGGGGCGACCAGGAGTTTATCTTTGTCAAAGAGGAGCCTGCTTTTTACATCTGAGAAACAGTACTAGGGGCTCCCAATGGGCCCTTGGGGCTCTGTGACCTAGGGATGGCCCAGCAAGGCTGTGGCCTGGGCCAGGGCAGGGAGATTTGGTTCAACCCCTGGGACTTGGAGTATGGAGGTGGGCGAGGTTAGGAGGAGGGCACAGTTTCCCTGAGGTGCCTCTGTCTCAGCCTAGGGAGGGCTGACTGGCCTCTGCCCAGGTGCCCCAGCCTGACCCAGGTCTGTGTCACCCTGTCTGGTTCCCCTGACCTGCTGCGTCCCTACCCAGGCCCTAATGGGCTCATGACCTCACCAGTCTGCTTCTGATCTTGCCTGTCCCTGCAGGGCCCTCATTCCAGAGTGTTCCTCATCGCACAGGAACCCATCCTTGGCTCTCCCTCCAGAACACCTGCCTGATGACTGGGCCTACGGGGCCCTCTGTCAGGCCTCCCTTGGTGAACAGTCCCTGCACCTCACAGGCAGCCTGTGCTAGGTGGTACCACACTGTGCTGCTGCTTCCTCTTATATTTTCTCACTCCGTCCTCATCCCTCTGAACATTTCTACAAAGCAGGACCTACACTACTGAAACTACATAGCCAGGCAAAGCGGTCTAGGATTATTTCCATTTTACAGGTGAGGAGACCGAGACTCAGAGAGGTGCAGTTACTTGCCCAGGGACACACAGCAGGAGTTTCAGGGGCTTCCAAGCCATATCTTTCCTATAATCACATGAGATTTTTGGAGGGCAGCAGACACAGCTCCTTCCTCCTTGGCCCTCCTACCTCCAGAGCCCAAGGAGGCTCCTGCTGGGAGGCAGGTACTGTCATCAGCCTCTCCTCCCGAGGCCTCTGGCTCCCTTTTTAATGGCGATGCTGGGGGCTGGGTCCCCTGTTGTGCTGACTCAGTGCTTCAGCTCAGCCAGCCTTACGGGCATTTGAATCCCCAGGACTGTTGCCCGCATCACCCTGTCCCATAACCAGGTGGTGCCCAGTCCAGGGACCCCCCCTCCCCCGACCAACTACCAGAAGGGAAGTGTGATATGTGCTCACCTGCTCACCGCAGAAGATTCTAAATCTGCAACTCAGGTAGTTGGGAAACAAGTGACAGAGTTACTCCCCCAGAGTCTGCCAAATCCGGGTGCTAAGCTGGGTTGGACTCTGCCCACCATCAGCAAAACCACATTAACCAGGCTTAGAGTTCAGGTGTTCCGGTTAACTGGATTTGCAGGATATATTTTTATTTATTTGAGAGAGAGAGACCAAAGCCCAGAACCCAAGTGCTTACCTTGGATGGACTGTCCTGCTAATGAAGGGATCCCCCAAGGTCTAAACTTCCTCACTCTCAGCTTCCAAGCATTTAGAAAGATGGGAAGTGATGGGAAATAGACAAAGCTTTCTCCTCCTGAGAATCCACTGATGCCATTTCCTTATCCTTAGTCATCGGGCACGAGAACCCTCAATTCTACTCTTCTTTGTTCTCCCTATACTGAGTGGTTAGTTCCATAATAAGAAATAAAAACTATGTCGTTTTTACAGAACCCTCAGGAAGAGTGCCATGGCCTTTTTGAATTTTATTTTTTGACCTCTGTATGCCCTTAGTATTTAGGGAGATGCTTCCATAGGGAGGTCACGGTGGGGCAGGCACCCTCCCCTGTTGGAAAGCAAGGCGACCAGAATGTCCCAGGATGGCAAAAAGGTTATACTCTTATAGATGCATGGGGAAGAAGTGACTGGTTGCCTTAGAGCAGTGGTCGGCAAACTCATTAGTCAACAGAGCCAAATATCAACAGTGCAACGATTGAGATTTCTTTTGAGAGCCAAATTTTTTAAACTTAAACTTCTTCTAACACCACTTCTTTAAAGTAGACTTCCCCAGGCCGTGGTATGTTGTGGAAGAGCCACACTCAAGGGGCCAAAGAGCCGCAGGTGGCTTTCGAGCCGCAGTTTGCCGACCACGGTCTTAGGGCAACAGAGTCCAATCCTCTCACTTTGGCCAACCTGAGACCCTGGCCCAGACTTCACATCTGCACACGTGAGCAAGGGGGAGCGGTGGTTGTGAGCTAGTCGTAGCATCCTGGGCGGTTTAGGGACCATGCCCCCCAAAAAACAGGTTTGTCTTTGACAAACATTGACAGAAGTAAAAATATTTATTTTTTTATCTTAGAAAACTGGCCCCACAAAATGGCCAATACTTTTTTCAGTTCACCTTGACCCTTCAAAAGAGAAATCTTTTCATTAAGAGGTAAAAGGTATGTTGATAAAAGCAATTTTAGAGATGTGCTCAGATAAAATTATTTTGTATAAACCAGCAATACAGGCAACCCTAAAGTTCAGTCTGAGATCTCTGTCATGTACAGTCCGTGAAGGAGAAAAGAAAGTAAGAGGTTGTCTGCAAACAAGGCCCCTAAGAAACCAAGAAAACTCCAGTCCACCAGGAACCGCACCGTGAGCCTGCGAACCCCCAGAGTCGCCAGGAAGGCTGAACCCCCACGTCTGAGAGCAGTTTCCACCTTCCTGCCCAAACACTGTTCCACTGGCTTCCGGCGCCTGCCCCGGCCCTGCCCCGCCTGCTGGCGGCAGACTGGAAACCAGGCCCCGGACTGAGATGAACGCTGCTGCCTGGAGCTCAGAGCGGCACCTGCGGCCACAGTGAGGAATGGGTTCAGAGGCCTTCCGGGGCACTCTGCAGGAACGGTTCCTTTTACAAAGGTAACAAGTTAGTGCAGATCAGCCTATGAGCAAAGCAAATACTAACAATTTTAGAAAGCTGGTTAACGCTCCCAATTTTCCTTCTGATTGTCTGTTCAAGCTGCAGCCTCTAACCTGCTGGGAGCCAGCGGAAGCCCTCCCCGGAAGGAGCCTTGCTGGAAGTGGCTGCAGCCAGTGGGAGAGCAGAAAGCTCCCCTGCGCACAGGGATCCATCCCGAGGCACCGGTCATCCCCGGAAGGGCTCATCTGAATCCAGGCAGCACACTGAGCCCCTTCTTTTGCTTTTGGGGGCTTGTGTTTATTACAGGTCACTGTGTGGAAGTAGTAGTCTCAGTCTCTCTCATGTCAGAGGACAGACAGGGATAAGGATCTTGGAGCTTGTCTTCTCGTGTTCTGGCTGCACAATTAAGTCCCAGGAAACAGTGTGACATGGAGACAATTTACTGCCCAACATGCTCAGTCTGTCAGAAAGGCAGGCAAGGAAGAGGAGCGAGTCACACTCCAAACAGACTGGCCAGGGAGTGCTTCGCCTGCCTTCCTTCGGCCCAGATGAGGCAGCTCCATCCCAGAAGCTGTGTGAGGATGAAGAGTTTTGCTCAGATCAGAACTGGACCCAGTCTGTGCCTGGCTGAGTCTGGCTGGAAGTTGCCCTGTGAAGGGAAGACAGGGAGGGGTGAGAGGGTTTAGACGTTTAAAACTACAAAGCAGAAAAAGGTGGCTTCTCTCTGGAAAAAGGGAGCTCCATCAATAAGTTGCCATATTTCTGCAATCTTCTCAAGAAGTCAGCTCTGCCCTAGCTGGTTTGGCTCCGTGGATAGAGCATCGGCCTGCAGACTCAAGGGTCTCAGGTTCGATTCCGGTCAAGGGTATGTACCTTGGTTTCGGGCACATCCTCAGTAGGGGGTGTGCAGGAGACAGCTGATCAATGTGACTATCTCTCTTTCCCTTCCTCTCTGTAAAAAAAATCAATAAAATATATATATTTTTTATTTATTTATTTATTTATTTATTTTTTTTAAAGAAGTCAGCTCTGAATATTCTAGAGCAGAGGTCAGTAAACTATAACTCAGGGACCAAATCTACCTCCCCCCCTACTTTACAAATAAAGTTTTATTGGTACATAGCCATTCATTTACTATAGTACATATTGTCTGTGGCTGTCTTTGAGCCGGAAGAGCAGAGCTGAGTAGTTGGAACAGAGACAATATGGCCTGCAAAGTCTAAACTCTTTGCTATCTGGTCCTTCATAGAAAATGTGTGCTGACTCCTGTCCTAGAGCCTTTGCAGTAGGGTTTTAGCATCTTTTCACCCCAACCCCAGGTAGAGGCCTGAAATGTTATGGGGTCAGAGAGGCATAAGGATGGGCCTCAGGGGTCCCAGGAAAGGCCCCGGCTAGAAGCCAGGCTAATCCTCAGTGCGGAGCTCTGGGAGGGCTGGGCCGGGAGGGAGGAAGGAGGTGTTGGGACCAAGCCAAGCGCTTGATGAGGGAGCTCCAGGCCACCCAGCAGAGGAGAGCAACAAAAGCCTTCCTGGAGAGAAATGTGCCACCCACGTGGGTGCTCGGGGGCTCTGTCGCACCAGAGAATGAGACTCTCCTCACCCTGTGGATTTTGCAAAGTCTCCCCAGATGTCGGCAGTGGCAGTCGTAGCAGGCGTGGGCTGCGGCCAGGACACAGTGGCGCCTCCTATTGATGTCCCCAAGTCCGATGGGTAGGGAGAGAAGAGAAGGAGACAGGAGTCAGAGATCTTTTTGGTTGTCTCAGTGACCCTGAAATCAGTCTCATAATTCCAAGTGGCTGAGAAAGACACACAGAGACATGCTTTTGGGCAACTAAACATCAAGTTGCCACATTTCTACCATCTTCTCATGAGCCCTTGAGGGATCCTGGAGAAAAAGCAGAAAGGTGGAGGGGAGGTGTGCCAGTGAGGACGGTCACACACCATCTGTCACACTTATCTGAAGTTGACCCTGTTTTTTAACAGTTTATATTGAAAATCTGTTTAAAATTTACCCTTCCATCCTGGCAGGCATGGTTCAGTGGTTGGAGTATCGGCCTGTGTATTGGAGGGTCATGGGTTCAATTCCCAGTTAGCACGTACCTGGTTGCAGGTTCAATCCCCATGGGTGCATGTGGGAATGAATCAAATTGACATGTGTCTCTCACATCGATGTTTCTCTCTCCCCCTCCCCTTCCACTCTCTAGAAATCAATGGAAAAAATATCCTCACTCCTCGGGTGAATATTAAAAAAAAAAAAAAAAAAAAAAAGTACCATCTCCTGCTCTGGCTTCTTTAATGGAAAATGCCCACTCAAATTGCTGGATTATCTTCACATAAAGCCCTCAGTCCAGTGCCGGGATCATCCAGCTAAGACAATTTTGTGTCAGACATGTGCCAACTCCTGAGAGCTAAACTGATCAGGGGTCGGGAGAGCATCCAGAAAAGGCACCACAGAAGCTGCTGTTTGGGCACCTCTTTGCGAGGTGGGGGGCACAATGGGGCCTCAGGGCCTGCTTTTGTGCGTTTTAGGCACCTTCCCGGACAGTGTTGCCAACTGTCCCTGTGCCTGCCATCCTCTGCCTTCCCACCCATTTGTTATTTCTAATCTGCTCTGGGCTGAGAGCAGATAAAACTCAGGCCCTCAACGGTTTAATTTTATAGTTCACTGCGTGCTTAACATCCCTTATCTCCTGGGAACCTCACCACAGGGCCTGGGGGAGACACGCCAGGACCAGCTGTGTGACTTTACCCAGACCACTAACTCTCAGTTCCTTATGTCTGAAATGGAGACAGAACAGGACTGTCTATGATTAAATAAGGTAATTTACATGGAATGCTGAGGACAGGCCCAGCACAGTGACAGTAATAACATTAGTAAAATGGGGCTAACAAATGTGAGCACTTACCATGTTCATAAGGGCTATCTGTGGACTTCACATTGATCCCTATAAGAGACCTATATTGTAGGTATCATTACTACCCCATCCTACCGATGAGAAGGCTGAGGCACAGAGAATGGCAGTTTTCTGAATATCACACTCCTGATAAGCTAGAATTTGAACTCAGCAAGTCTGGTTTTGGAGCATACAGTAAATGCTCACTATCAGCTAGACATGACTCTTATCCTCCACCATTTAGTTTGTAGATGCTAATTGCCTTTTGTTCACATCAGCACATAAACCCTGGAGAGCAGGGACTTGATGTTATCCTCACAGTATCCCGAGGGCCTAACATGCTACCTGGCAAACAGCAGGTTTTTCATATTACCTGCTACAAGTGCATTGGCACCGAGGGAAAGTGGCTCTCAGACCTTAGTGCTCATACAAATAACATTAAGAACACCGATTCCTTGCTCTCTGCCCCCAGCGATGCCAGGCAGGTGGTCCTGTGACCTCATGGAGACCCAATGCTGAAAGAATAATTCCTGGGGCAGGGCAGGCGGCTCACTGCCTGCTGCTCCCGCCACTTCCCTGGACTGGTGTGTCCCCACAGGGCTGAAGTCTGAAGCCTGACCTCCAGATAGGGAAGCCAATGTCCACGAGCCTGAGATGGAAAGAAAGCAGGCTTCCTGCCTGCATCTTGCCGCCAGCTGGTGAGTGGTGTGTGGAAAAAGTGGGCTGGTAGCAATCACCCAGCCTGGGGCTGCCCAGGGCATCAGGCTGGGCTGGGAGGCAGGGCAGGGAGGCCAGCACTAGGTACTAACTTCTGGAATTCCGGGGTCTCTAGAAGGCATTCCTTACATCCTGGCACAGCATCACACAGCTTGCTGGGGGAACTGCCTCTCACTTCTCAGCACCCTGATGGCCTTGCTCCAAACGAAATGTCCCATTTTATTTCTCACCACTCACCTTGGCCTTCCTGTGCTGCTTTGCATCCACCTCCCTCAATACACCAGGTGTCTAAAAGCCTGAGCCTTTTCAGCTCTTCTCTCTGAATGGAGTCCCTGCCCCAATCTCCTTCCTTCAGGGCCCGCTCAATGTGACCTCTTTCGTGAAGCCACAGAGCATCTCGAGGGCTGGCAGTGAGTCTGGTCTCCAGCCTCTAGCCTGTGGCTCCTCTCTCCTACTAGCTCTCAGTGCCCTATGAGCACAGACTGTGTCTCCAACACCCACTCACTCAATACCCACTGACCAGCCTCTGAGAACCAGGGGCCACGTGATGCCTTCACAATTGAGTTGAAGTCCCTGCCCATCAGGGAAGGACAGACAAGACACCCTAAGAGTAAGTGGTGGGAATCAGGGGAACAGAGGAACCCTATACCCAGTGTGGGCAGGACCAGCTATTCTGTGCGCACCTTCCTGTTGGTCACAAACAGCTAAATGACAGACCAATGAGTGAAGGAAGGAAAACCAGCTGCCAGCAGGGAGAGGAACCCACAGGCACAGACTTAGCAGCAAGTACAATCATCCCCAAGCACTGACCTGAACTGGGAGCAACTGCTGGCTGGGCGAGGGACCCCTCTACAGACAACTGCTCCCCAGGGGGAGGGATGAGGGTGGAGGGCTTCGCCCCTGGGGGAGGGGGCAGCAGGCTCAGTCCGCCTGTGCTGGCGGGCCGTGCTCGGGGAGTCCCGGCTGCTCCTTCCTTCTTCTTCATGTTCTAAAGAGAGGAGGGAAATGTGAACCCGTCAGTTCTGCTGGAGCCCCACTGCTATCAGAAAACCCCACAAGGAGGGCCAACTGACCCCAGTCCCCAAACGTGTAAAACCGAGAGACAGATGGTCAAGACCCGTCCAGCACTTCCATTGTTACGAGATGTATTCAACGCCTCAAATTCTAAAGTTATCACAAGCACATTTAATTTTGACACCTGAAATTATTAATCATCAGAAAAGGCAAAATCAAACCTACCATGATACACAATTACGTACCCATCCGAATGGCTAAAACATAGAACATAACTGCTGACAAGGGCATGGAGCACTACCCTGTTTCCCCGAAAATAAGACAGTGTCTTATATTAATTTTTGCTCCCAAAGATGCGCTAGGTCTTATTTTCAGGGGATGTCTTTTTTTTTTTTTTCCCATGAAGAAGAATACGGTACACATTTATTGTTAAATGAAAATAAAGGAAATTTATTACCTGTATACGGAACGGTAGTACGGTGATTGTCAACACAAACCAGACAAACTGTGAATCCTACAGTATCAAGAATTTACTCACTTATTCAATGACAATCATGTCATCATCTTCTGGAACATCACCATTAACAATCCAATTCCTGAATTTCCTGGTAAATTTCTTGTGACTCCATTTCTTTCAGAATCAGTGGACCAAATCTCTCATGTTTAGCAATAGCACTCTGAGACAGAGCCTAGAGGGGGCCTTATTTTTGGGGGATGCCTACTATTTCACTCAGAAGGAATACTGTAAGTAGGTCTTATTTTCGGAGGATGTCTTATTTTCGGAGGATGTCTTATTTTCGGGGAAACACGGTAGTACACGGCCCTGGCTGGTGTGGCTCAGTTCATTGCTGGTTCGATTCCCAGTCAGGGCACATGCCCGCATTGCAGGCTTGATCTCAGGGAAGGGGCATGCAGGAGGCAGTTGATCGATGTTTCTCTCTCTTTCCCTCTTTCTTTAAAAATCAATAAAAATATTAAAAAATTTAAAAAAGAGCACTCATAACTGCGGTGGGAGTGTCAGGTAGGTAAATGTCTTTGAAAAACTGTACAAAGCTGGGCATCTGAAGTGATGTGCCTGCATAGACCCAACAGAAATGCCCACATCTGTGCACCCAGAGACATGCACTGGAACATTCTTAGCAGCACTACTTGTAATCGCCCCAAACTGGAAGCTACCCAAATGTCTGCCATCAGTTAAATGGGTAAGTCACTGGATGCATTCTCACAATGGGATATGCCACCACAGTGAGAATGATTCATGCAACAGTGTGGAGGCCTCGAAAATACCACATTAGTAAAAGAAAGAAGTTGTACACAATAGAGTACAGGATGTATGATTCAATTAATGAAAGTTGAAAACAAAATTCAGGGTATTCGGTCAGGTAGTGGTTACTCGAGGTAGGCAGTTACTAGGAAGAGCAGGAGAGGGGCGAACAGGGTGCTGAGAACCTGCTTCTTGGTCTGGAGGCGGGTCTGTGTGGGTAAATTCCGGTTTTAAAAATTTGCTGAGCTCTGCACTTTTCCGTTTGAGTATCATACTTCAATAAAACATTAAAAAAAGCAAAAAGCAAAAACCTGAGCACCAAGCGTGAGCCAGAAATCTGGAGAGGTTACAAAGATGAGGGCGACCTGGATCCCTATTTGTAAGGAAAGCAGCAGTTTAATCAAAAGCTACGACCACGGCCCCAAGTCAAAAGCCCTCAGAGCTCAGTGCGAGTCCAGCAAGGCTGGCGTTTCTAGCTCTAGGACCCTGGGCAAGTCCTGCAGCCTCTCCAAGCCTCCGTTCCCTCGCCTGTAAAAGGAGAGAATATTTCATTCGAATAAGAAAGTGCCTGAAAACACTACCTGGCACACAGCTGCTCAGTAAATGTTAGTTTCCTCCCAGCCAGAGAAAGAATCACATCCCAACCAGTCACTGCATTTCTCTTAAGGGCCAGATAACGCCAAGGTCCCAAATCAGCACTAGCACGAAGCAGAAGAGAGGAGAAAGAGACAGTGAGTCAAGAGGAAGAGCAGTATTTTAGGGTTACAAAGTTTCTTCAAAATCAAATCCGTTTGGTCCTTGGTTCCCCCAATTATTTCAACTCCACCCCCATAGTCGATCAAGGCAACCTAGCCAGTCCAATAGCAACTAACAGGGAAAAGCCAGCTCAGGGCCAAGACACAGGGAGCCAGGACCATGCCAGCAGCAGAAGGTGCCCACGACTCCCTGTGCCCTCAGCACCCCCAAAGCTTCCTTCCTCACGGTGTTAAGGCCAAAACGCAGCTTGAAATGGGCACGGTGATCCCCAGTGTAACAGCCAGAACAAAATCCCTAGCTCTGGCAATGAGTGACGGATGTTCCTTCTCAACTCAAAGGCTTTGCACAAACTGTTTCCTCCTCTGGGGTCACCCTTTGACCCTTCTTCCCTTCTTTATAGGTCACTTCTTCCAGGAAGCCTTCCATGACTCATCTAACTCTGGGCTAAATACACACCTTTCCTCTAGGAACTCATGGCACTGAGGACACCCCTAGGTCACAGAACCCTCCAGCCATGTTGTAATCACATCTTGACTTGCCCATCTCAACTCGAGAGGACAGCAGAGCCCTCTCTTTCACCCCCATGTAGTAACTGGCACAATGAGCATCTGCTGGACTGACAGGGCTGAACTGTGAGAGAGGGATGGGTTCTGGACTGGGCGCAGTGTGGTGGCTACAAGTATCATCTGATCGTGGCCAATACAGCCAAGCAGGGTTGGGACTCACCGCAATGTTGAGCTTGATGGTCTGGCCTTCCTTGAAGCCTAGGTCCAATTTGGGGCCTTGGTCTGGGTTCTGGGCTTGTTTTGCAAATTCAAATTGCTGTTTCACCCACCTGGGGGAGGAAGACACAGGTGAGGAAAGGACCAGCTGCCCTGCATCCACACTCACTTCACTATCACCTGCCAGCAGTCCAGGACGAGGCTTTTAACCCAGCAGGCAGAGGAACGCAGGCTGGGGAGTGAGGCCTGAATTCAAATCCTGCCTGTGACACGTAAGTAGTTGCATGCGTATCAGTTTCCACATCAGCAAAATGGGTTGAACAGTCTATGTCTTAAAGCCCGTTACAAGAAATCAATGAGACCACTTATGTAGAGCATCCTAACGCTGGTCTTCATTCAACCTGAGAACGTGGCCCTCTACCCCCAGCACTTGGCCTGAGAACTAAGATAAGGACTCCACCCCTGCCCCCCACCCCTAGGCTTATAAAGCAGTTGGTGAGACACGACAGATGCTAGGGAGGAGAGAGCATCACAAAGGTCTTCCATAAAACACCCATCCATAGCCACCTGGGGCAAGGGCCCCAGCACAGGGAAGAGCCAGAGAGGCCTCCTGGTGAGCAGCCACATGTTCCCCACTGGCTGGAAGCCAGAGGTGGAGGCCTGTGGATGGCAGAAAGCAGTCTTCCCTGCCCTGCCTTTGAGCTTCAGAAAGGGCCACCGGGGAATCCAAGCATCAGTTATTATATCAGAGCCACAGGCCCAGAAAAGCCACAGGAACCTGACAAGGACTCTGGCTGCTCAGGGGCTTATAAGGAAAGAAAGGTGACCCCTCAAAGTCTGGGCAGCGGAATGAGGTGACAGAGATGGGCCTGAGGAGAAGGACATGACTTCACAGTGGAGAGGAGGCCTGGAAGGATGTAGAGAAGCCAGCTGCCCGGAAGTGAGCTATCCTGAGGCTCTGCTGGAAGACCAATCACACACCCACCTGCGGATCCTAACCTGGGAATCACTCTGTCCAGGGAGAGAAGGGAGGAGGATAAGCACTGGGTCCTGAACCACTCACTTGAAATGGTCCTGCAATGCCACGTTGAAGTCAAAGGCATCACCTCGGTCCCCAAAGCCAAGTCCGATGAACGCCCGTCGTCCTGGAGGACAACACACGATCAGTCCCACGTGGAGGCAGAGAAACCTTTCTCACGAGGAGGAAGCACCGACCCGCACGTACCATTTTCATCTTCGACGCGGATGACGAAGTACCTGCTGGAATCCGTCACGCTCTCCACGGCTGTGCCAGGAAACTGGTCCACAGGAGCCTGAGCAAAGAGTTCCCCTGCAAGACAAGTGAGGGTGAGCCCCGAGCCCACTCCAGCCTGATGTTCCCATCATCCTATGGGGCCTTTCTCCTGTGAGGCACATGGCAAACTTACTCTGGGATTCAAATCAAATCCGTTCTGGCTGAAGGGAGACACAGAAATATAACTAAGGAGCCGGCACCGGTTTGGCTCAGTGGATAGAGCATCAGCCTGTGGACTGAAAGGTCCCGGGTTCAATTCTGGTCAAGGGCATGTACCTTGGTTGCGGATCCCCAGTAGGGGGTGTGCAAGAGGCAGCTGGTCAATGATTCTCTCTCATCGACGTTTCTAACTCTCTATCCCTCTCTCTTCCTCTCTGTGAAAAATCAATAAAATATATTTTTTTAAAAAGAAAAATATAACTAAGGAAAGGTTTAAGTCAGATGCGGTTTAGTTTTAATATTTTTCATTTAACCATTCCATCTGGCCACCCATTCCACCTGTCTCACACATGTACATTACCTGCCTGCACCCCGACGGCCCTGGTACAGGTATACCACGCCTTCGGAAAAGACCTGGTACCTGAGGCAGGTCTGTAAAGGACCGGGGAACCCAGTGGAAAGGAGGGAGAAAGTTCTGGCACCCACAGGAGAATCTGAAGCAGGCCAATTTAGTCTCAGAGACAGAGGAAGAGGGACTGGTTGTGAAATGCAGCCCCGTGTCAACTACAGCTCTCCAGGGTGCGTGCAACACCCACTTCCGTGAGCATTTATGACCGGCATCTTTTCCCCGTGTGCTGATCTTTGTTGGGGCTTTAAATATTTAGCCAAATATTTTCTACTGAAACCTGTGGTTCAGAGGTGACCGCAATCAAGGGTGAGCTGAATCAATCTGTGGCCTAGAGTCCGAGGCTTCCTGTTAATTTCTCTGCCCCACCTGTTTGGTACCTGGACATCCGGGACTCACCTTGATGTCTTCAACCGGGAGGGAGCAGTGGTTCTCAATCAGGGATAGTTTTACTCCCCCTCCCCCCAAGGGACACCTGGCAATGTCTGGAGACATTTTTGGTTGTCACAACTTGGGGGGTAGGGATACTACTGACAATTAGTTGGTAGAGGCCAGGGATGTTGCTAAATATCTTAAATTTCACTTAACAGCCCACAACACTCGTCTAGCCCCAAATGCCATCAGTGCTGAGGCTGAGAATCCTTGGTCTAGAGTGACTGGAAAGCGAGAGTCAAACATGACCCAGTGGGCACGACTCCAAGCTAAGAGCATCCTGGGTGAGGCTCAGTCCTGGGCAGTGGTGTGCGTCAGTTTCCAAGGGAACAGGTGTTGCATTCCCTTGTGACACCACCTGGCACATCCCAGCAAGTCTCACAGCCAAAGTTCTCTGGCCATGGCAGCTGTCTCTTCTAACTCCTCTGCAGACAACACTCCCCCAGCCAACCCCACGCTCCAGAACAAATCAATGCTTTGGGTCGCCTTGCAGTTCACAAAGCAATTGGATGGGTTTCCAACAACCTGGTGAAGGAGGAACTAATGTGATCCCTAGTTCAGCAAAAAGGCCAAGGCATCAGAGGTCATGTGACTCGCCCAAGGCCCCACAGCTCAGATGCAAATGACACAGTTGGGAGAATTCATTTGCCTCTGAATTTTTTCACTTTATACCACCACATGAAGAAAAATTTCTACATATTGGAAAAACAGGCGACCGAATGTCGAGACACCTGACTGAGCAGGCACTGTGCCCGATCCCTTCTCTGGAGGCTGGGCTATTCCAGGCCTTTCTGCCCTCCACAGCCCACCCAGAGGCACTGGTGGCACAGGGCTTCCAGAGAGATTTCCCCAAAGTGACACCTGCCAGCTGACCCCAACACTGGCCACCCTTGCTCTGCCTCTCCCCACAGAAAGAGCTAAGGAGGCAGGTCAGCTCTTTCAGTTAATGGGCGTGGTTGGTCTGGGAGTCATCATTCAGTCGATAATGCAGAGAGCTGTGTCTTCACCCAGCGTGCCTCAAAGCAACCTCTGGCACTCCCACTTGGGACCAACTGTAGGTCTCCTCTCCTTGGGCTCCAAAATTAGTATTTTTTAAAGGACCCCCCCCCCCAAAAAAAAAGAACAGGTGCTTAGCGAGAAATACTCTTTAATACTTGGGGACAGGGGCTCCTACAACTAAAGGTGGGGGAATGGAGGAGGCCTAATTAACGGTGCGCTCGGGTCTTCCATTTCCAGGACAGGTTCCCATGACCCCCGAGAGGCCTCATCAGGCCCGGGCTGCCTCTCCCTTTGCAGCGTGGGAGGCTGGCAGCTCAGCCCCGAGCAGGCCTCCCGTGCCTTTACCTGAGGTCCTGTCCTCCAGCTTGATGTAGGCCACCTGCCCTTTGGCAGTGATCCGCAGCCGGCCACTCCATGACGGCTGGTCCAGCTGCCACTCCGCAGCCCTAAGGGGACAAAAGCCATTGAGCCTCTGCCGGAGGCTCCCGTCCATCACTCCAGTGCCGGGGGTGGGGATGGGAAGGGCATGTGGGCTGCTTGCTCTAGACCAGGAGTTGGTGAACTTGCTCTAAAAAGTGCCACACAATCTCTGTCACAACTACTCTGCCAGTTAGCAGGGAGAGCAGTTGTACCCAGTACATGAGCGTACTGGTGCTCTAAGGTAGTAACCAGATGGCCTGAGTGTGGCTGTATTTCAGGGAAATTTTGTTAACACTGAAATCTGAATTTTATATCATTTATAATGTTCACATCATGAAATAGTCTTCTTTAAAAACTCCCCCTACCGCCGGGACCGGTTTGGCTCAATGGATAGAGGCTTGGGGACTGAAGGGCCCCGGGTTCGATTCCGGTCAAGGGCATGTACCTTGGTTGCGGGCACATCTCCAGTAGGGGGTGTGCAAGAGGCAGCTGATCGATGACTCTCTCTCATCGATGTTTCTAACTCTCTATCTCTCTCCCTTCCTCTCTGTACAAAATCAATAAAATATATTAAAAAAAAATAAAAATAAAAACTCCCCCTACCATTTAAAAGTGGAAAAACCGTTCTTAGCTTGTGAGCCACACAAAAACACAGTGGGTCTCAGGTTGCTGACCCTGTTCCAGATTAGAAAGACCTTCCCGGGGGCAGGACTTCCAGTTTTCTTTCTGTGGAGGAAGCAGCTGCTGGGACCTGTTCGTTTAGGACATTGCTAGGCAGTGGTGGTCAGAGTGACCGTTTGGGATCACTGAGACCAACTTGGAGGAAAAGTAGAGAGGGAAGCAATCATTAGTAGAGAGAAGGAGAAGAAGAAAATATACACATGGGAAAAGTGAATGGATATTGAAGAAATATTCTCAGTGAGGCTCAGTGGCTGAGCATCGAACCATGAACCAGGGGGTCCCGGTTCCATCCCTGCTCAGGGCACATGCCAGGGTTGCCAGCTCCCACCCCAGTAGGGGGTGTGCAGGAGGCAGCTGATCAATGACTCTCTCTCACCACTGACGTTTCCATCTCTCCCTTTCCCTTCCTATCTCTAAAATAAAATTAAAAATTAAAAAAGAAATCCAGGACCTATCGCAATAGCCTCTTTTGGCTCTTTTAAAGCATAAGAAGCAACTCCGTAACACCCCCATATAGCAAGAGCCTTGGGTGTTTTCACAACGCTTTCCGTGGAAGTCCCTAAGTGAATGCCAGAGACACCGTAACTGGGGCTGCGGGTTGTCTGGAAGACCACACAAATGCAGACTCTCTATTCACAAGTCAGCGGACTCCGTTTCGGTTCCTCTTACTGGGGCAAAAGGCCTTAGATTCAGGCTAAACAGAGCTCTGAAGCTGAAGTGCAAGGGCCGACAGTTCCCTCTGTCAAACCAGCCAGCCCTGACACGTGGTATCCTCGCTTCCTGGGGGTCCAAGAAGGGCCAAACCCATTTTACTGAAGGGGAATAAGGGTCCACGACCATCCCTGGTTTGGCGGCCCAGGTCCAGCTTTGATGATAGAAAGCAAATGGGTTTCTGTTGCTTTCATACAATTTTAAAAATTACATCACGGATGTAGTCGGTGTTCAATAAGACATCTGTTCCCTGTGAAGTCATGGGCTGTGAGCCTGTATTAACACCATCGGAAATGAACAAGAAGCCAGATCTGTCGACACCCCAACATTCTTGTGACGCGGGCCAATCCCGGTCTCTGCATTTCTTGAGAATAACTTGAACAAACACTGCCTTTCAAGAGCCACCCACCCCACCACCCCACCACGCCACCACCCCACCCGCCCAGGGGCACAAAACAGCCATCGGCCAGGCTGTCTGTACCAGGTACGTCTTTTTTTATCCTTTTCATAGGGTTCGTCTTCCTCTGATAGGCAACACATACACACGGTAACACGATGCCAACAGGACGGAAAGGTATACAGGGCGAGGAAGTCCCTTCGGCCCCCGCACCCCCACCCGCTCCGCTTCCGTGGGGCAGTTCCTTCCAGACACCCTACGTGTCCCAGTACATGTGTGTTTACTCGTCTCGGGAACATTTCGTCAGAGAAGTGCAGATGGGTTCCTCCCAGCTGCCCAGGCGGTGGGAAGGCGAGAAGTTCGGGCGAAGGGCGCTGGGCGGGGAGGGGGTCCCTGGCTTCCGCCGCTCCCGGGAGCGGCCCTTTAGGCCGGCTCGGGGCTCCCTCCCTGCCCCTCCGGGATTTCCGCCGGTGAGAGGGCCCCTCCCCCCTGGAGGCTGGTCAAGGATCCCTCCAAGGCCATCAGCTGGCTTTGAAAGAGAAAGGCTGGTGACACCACCATCGCCGACCTGGAAGCCATCGGGTCCCCAAGCGGAGACGAGGCTTTAACGCCCTCCCCGCCACGGGGAGCCGGTGCCTCCCTGCTGTGCCCACCGGCCGGGGCCGCCGCAGCATCACCTAAACATCTCCCCTCGCCCCTCCGCCGGCCGGGGCCATCCCCCGCGCCCACAGTGGGCGTGTCGGGCGCAGGGAAGGGGGGTAAAGTCAGGGTTAGCCTGGCCCGGCGGCGGCGGTCACCTGTAGCCGCGGTTGGTGGCCCTCGGCGGGATGCGGTAGACATGGACCTCCGGCTTGACACACAGAACCGACTCGTACTCGCCCTCCTCCATCTCGATGCCCCACAGCCCGCCAGACTTCCGGCTCCTTCCAGCCCGGGGGCCGGAAGCGGCGAGACTCTATGACCCGAGTCGGGCTAGAGTGGCGGCTCGCGGGCCTCAGCGCCTCCAGCGCCCGCGCGCCCCCTGCTGGAAACCCTGGTTCAAGACACACGGCGGACCCAGGAGTTGGCTGGATGAGAACCAGGGTTCTCTGGGGACTTCCCTCTCCCACAAGGCCTCAGGGACCTCAGAGAAAACGTCAATACTGACTTCACCACCGTGGTCTGGGTGTGGGTCATTCCTATCGCCTGGACACTTACATCTGGGACCCAGTTGCCTGAGATTCAAAGCTGTGGCTATTTACACAGCTCACCCTGAAGACTCTCTCTTGCAACCTTTGCCTCCTCCTCCTGAGAAATGCATACCTCACCCAGTGAGATGCCCCTACCCCGACACCCTTATCCTAACTTATGTGCCCAGGGCTTCTTGTGGCCTAGACCCAACAAAGAGTTGTATTCAAAGAAGCAAAGTTTAGTAACCTAAGTGTGAAACTGAGTAAAGAAATCCCATTTAAGCCCTGCCGGCGTGGCTCAGTGGTTTGAGCAGCGACCTATGAACATGGAGGTCATGGTTTGATTCCCGGTCAGGGCACATGTCCGAGTTGTGGGCTCTATCCCCAGTGTGGGGTGTGCAGGAGGCAGCAGATCAACGATTCTCTCTCCTCATTGATGTTTCTCTCTCTCTCTCTCTCTCTCTCTCTCTCTCTCTCTCTCTTTTTCTCTCTCTTCCTCTTCCTTCCTCTCTGAAATCAATCAATATTTTTTTAAAAAGAAACCCCATTTAAAGTGGAGCCAGGATATATATGATAAATGGGAATGCAGCTCTTCCCATGCCCCAACTCCCCCTCCCACCCTGTGGGGATATAGTGAGGCCATCTGTAAGTGGGAGCCTGGCCAGTCCTGGGTCTAAGAAAAGCCGGAGAGCCCTGACTGGTTTGGCTCAGTGGCCAGAGTGTTGGCCTGCAGACTGAAGGGTCCCCTTGATTCCTGTCAAGGGCAGTACCTTGGTTGTGGGCACATCCCTAGTAGAGGGGTGTGCAGGAGGCAGCTGTTCGATGTTTTTAATTCTCTATCCCTCTCCCTTCCTCTCTGTAAAAAATCAATAAAATATATTTTTTTTAAAAAGAAAGGCAGGATAAATGGCTTCTTAGATGTGAGCCTGGATTGTAAACAGCTAGTGTTTTGCTCTTACACAGTTTGCATACAGGCACTTTCCCCTCCACCCCCCCTCCCCCGCCCTGTTTGCTTTGTTTTCTGTTCTCCATACAGCCTTGCATTGGGAAAGTCTGGGTTGCAGTAAAACAATAGCACCAGCCTGGCTGCCCCAGGTGTGGCCCATTCCCAGGCCAAATGGGACTTGATGGAAAACTTCACCCATGGCAGCTGCCACTGGTGTGGTGGAAAATTTCATGTGTTGGCCCCTAGTGCGCATGTAAGTCCTAATATACCCATGTCTTTCATAGCCAGTCCTCCGGGTTCTGTGTTTAGAACCCACAAACAACGTGCTGAGATTTTCTCGGACCTTAGCTCTTTGCTTAACAAGAGGCCAGGAGAACGAGCTTTCATGCACTACCATTCCACTTCAATCATGCACCCTAACAGGAAGAAACAAGCTTGCATTCCCAACAAGTACCTCTCCTACCCCAGAAGGGGAAGAAGGATTTTTCTCCTTTTCCCCCTCCCCCTCCCCTGCCTCAGCCAATGGGAACTCTCGAAACTCAGTCTATGAGAAGAAATCACCACCCTGAAGTCTCACTTTCCTCCAATGACTTTCCTTCAAAGCACCCCTTCCCAATTTCCTCCTTTTTCTCTCGAAACTAAGGTTCCTCTCTCCCTCTCTCTCTCTTTCTCTCTCTCATTATATATATATATATATATTTTATTGATTTCAGAAGGGAGAGGGAAAGATAGAAACATAAATGATGAGAGAGAATCATTGATCAGCTGCCTCCTGCACGCCTCTACTGGGGACTGAGCCCGCAACCTGGGCATGTGCCCTTGATTGGAATTGAACTGAGGACCCTTCAGTCCATAGGCCAACGCTCCATCCACTGAGCCAAGCCGGCTAGGGCCTCTCTCTCTCTCTCTCTCTCTCTCTCTCTCTCTCTCTCTCTCTCTTTAAATATATTTTTATTGACCTCCTGTTTCATGGGTCAATGCTCAACCACTGAGCCACACTGGCCAGGCAATAATTGCTATTTTCCATTTTCTTTGGTAACAGTCATCCTGGAGAGCGTGAAGTTAACCTCTCTTTAGCTGAATTGACTTAACCTCTAAATTTCAGCTCCACTCATTACCCTGATTCTCCACAGCGGAGAGACATTGAGCAATGACCCAGAAGATGAGCTTTCTTCCTCCCCGTTCTTTGGGCCTGCCTCTCATTTGCTTAACGCTCTGGAGTGGCAAAGACGGAACTCCCCTCAGAAGGTGAAGGGGGAGAGCTATTGAGAGGAGAGGGGAGGGAGGGCACTTCCCAGATGGACAATCTTAGCCCCTCCCGTCCTCAACATTCACTTTACTTCTGCTTTTCCACTAGCCACATGCGGCTCTTTGGCCCCTTGAGTGTGGCTCTTCCACAAAATACCACGGCCTGGGTGAATCTATTTTGAAGAAGTGACATTAGAAGAAGTTTAAGTTTAAAAATTTTGGCTCTCAAAAGAAATTTCAATTGTACTGTTGCTATTTGGCTCTGTTGACTAATGAGTTTGCCGACCACTGCACTAGACCCGGAGCTTCTTGGATGTAGGAACCTGTCCCTGCCACCTGTGGATCCGCATATTCAGCAGCACAGGGCCTGGCACAGAGTAAGTGCTCAGTGAATGAATGAATGAATGAATGAATGAATGAATGGAGTATGTCTGTGTCTCGTGTGTGTGTGTGTGTGTGTGTATGCATCCCAATGCCAGTTTAGAGCTGGGCCATATGCTGACTCCTTGTATCCGTATGTGCCAGCAACACAGGGGAAATGGGGTCTCCCAGGAGTAAAGCCCCTGGACCCATGGGCACAGTCTGTGTTTGCCGCCACCACCCCTCGATTCTGCCCTCAGGCTCCATGCCTTTCTGCTAGGGTGGGCCTTCCCCTTCTCACCCAGATTCTCCCCATGGGGACACCCTCTGGGGCCCCTGCCCCCCTCAAATGTCAGCTTGTGGAATACTGGGCTCTGAGAATTCCGAGAGGGAGCCTGCGCTTTCTGAGGTAAGGAGAGTGAACAATTGGGGGTGTGTTTGAGGGGCCTGGTGGGGAGGAGTCCCCCAAAGGGTCACCCACCCCTGGGGCGGGAATGCTTAAGGAACCCTGATGGGAGAGAGGCAGGGAGGAGACAGGAGCTCCAAGGGAAGAGAGAGGGACTTGGTCACAATGCTGATTTCTTCTTGCCAAGTGAGAGCCTGCGGCCTTTGGGGTCTTTGAGATGCCACCTGGGGTGCGGGGTCACCTGGGTGCATTGTGGGGGTGCAAGCCTCATTGCAGGAAGGACTGGAGGGCAGATTGGGTTGGGAGGAAAGAGGAAGGGAGGGGGCATTTTGGTCAGCAGCTGTTAGGGGCTCCTCCTCTGTGGTCCTGGTGAAACATGTGAGCCACCAGAACACCTGGTGCCTTCCCAGGGCCTGGCACTGTGCCCATGCCCGTTAGACAACTGTGCATTGCATGGGCGTAAGCTTCTTTGGAGGTGAGATAACTTGGTGGGATAAGCAAGGCCTGGGTTTGAGTCCAGTTCCTCTGTAGGCCAGCCATGGAAGAGAACACTTACAAAGGGGTGTTTTTCACAGAGAGGAAGGGAGAGATAGAAACATCGATGAGAGAGAAACATCAATCAGCTGCCTCCTACACAACCCCCGCAACCAAGGTACATGCCCTTGTCCGGAATCGAACCTGGGATTCTTGAGTCCGAAGGCCAACGCTCTATCCACCAAGCCAAACCGCTTAGGGCTCAAATATATTTTTATTGATTTCAGAGAGGAAGGGAGAGGGAGAGAAAGAATCATCAATGAGAGAGAACCATGGATCGACTGCCCCTTGCACGGCCCACCCTGGGGATGGAGCCCACAACCGGGGCATGTGCCCTGACCGGGAATCGAACCGTGACTTCCTGGTTCATAGGTTGGTGCTCAACCACCAAGCCATGCCAGTCAGGCCAGCTTTGTGGTATTGGACAAGACTCCTGACTACCCTGAGCCTTGGTTTCCTTATCTTTAAAACAGGGCCAAACACAGTGACCGCACAGGGTGGTTAGGAGAATACCATTTGCAAACGTGGCCAGCACATAGAAGGTCCCTCCATGGATGGTGGCTGGCCGGCCGTGCTTTAAAGTGGAAGAAATCCCATCGAGAGCTTCAAGGTCACACGGTCTCACTGAGGGGTAGGACTCACCCTTAGACAAGGGGTCACGATGTACCCATAGAAATGGTGCTGATGTGGTCTCAACAGAATTCAGAGGCTGGAGAGAGGGCTGAGGCGGTTGGAAGCTTGGGAAAAAAGTCGGAGCTTGGAGGATGGGCTGGGGGTGTTGGAGAGCCAGAGAAGAGGGAGGCGGGCACAGAGGCGGGGGTCTGTGGCATTAGGCCTGCAGGAGTCTGCCTAGATCCGTAGTCGGCAAACTGCAGCTCACGAGCCACATGCAGCTCTTTGGCCCCGTGAGTGTGGCTCTTCCACAAAATACCACGGCCTGCGTGAGTCTATGTTGAAGAAGTGGCGTTAGAAGAGGTTTACGTTTCAAAAATGTGGCTCTCCAAAGAAATGTCAATCGCTGTACTGTTGGTATTTGGCTCTGTTGACTAACGAGTTTGCCGACCACGGCCCTAGGTGAAAGCAGAATGTTTGGGTGAGGGATGGCGGTAGGGGAGAAGGTGAAGTTAGATGGGAGAGACAGGAGAGACACTCAGAAAGGCTTTAGAAAGGGGTGTGTCCAGGGCAGGGTGAGGAACTACGTATTGTCAGTGGAGACCTTAGGGTCC